TTTGGAGGGCTGCTTGATGTACGCATATAAATGTCATTAATACTATTAATGACTTACAAATATACAGTCTTCATGAAGTCTGATTGGAAGGATACTTAAAATCTCCCTTTAGTTTATGCAAAAAAACAGGTTGTGAAAAAGTTTACTAAGCTATAGATACTTTAAACCACTCCAGGAGATAGTAAATATTGACTTTACTTTTTTAAAATAATCTTTTTATTAAAAAAGTTTTACCTCCAATCTGTCTAAAATTTTACAATCCATTTGATCCGTTTAAAATTTTCTACAGCCAGAACTTTGACTTTCTTTTGCTGTTTTTTTTGAATTCTTAAAGCTCATAAAGACAGTTTCATTTTCTCATATTGAAGGCACTCAATGTTGTGTTTTCAGCATTGTCATTTTGAAAGTGCTTAATTTCTTTAAAACAGAATAGGATTGTGGTTAGTAAAGAAAATGTGACCTTAGTGTGCTTTGATGGCTATGACTGTGGCTAGAACAATAATGATGATTTTTTTTTCATCTCCTGGTTCTCTCATCCTCTAGAAACCACTGCTTTGCTGTCTCCTCATGAGGAGCAAGAGTCTTAAGCATAATGCAGGGAGTGCCACATTCTTTCTTTCTCCAAAGAGGGTCAAAGGAGACAATATTCTCATGGGTTCCTCATTCTTAGCCACAATCATTGGCTTTGCTTTTTGCAAAGCCAATGTCTTCAATCTGCAATTTCATTTCAGAAAGTCCATATTGGCTTCACTTTCACGTGTATCTACTTGGCTTGAAGCCACAGGGAAATTGGCAATCTCTTCTAATCTTAAAATACTTTTGATGTTGAAGTCCTAAACGTGGTTGTGTTTCAGGCATCTATATTATGTTGTATTTATTTCCTCATGCACTTCATTGTAGATAATAAATTGGGGACATTAGTTAATTACAGGTAGTCCTCGACTTACAACTGTTACAACTGTTCAGTGACTGTTCAAAGTTACAACGGCAGGGGAAAAAATGATTTATGACCATTTTTCACACTTACCCTATGGTCAAATGATTAAAATTCAGATGATTGGCAACTGACTCATATTTATGATGGTTACAGTATCCTGGGGTCATGTGATCATCTTTTGCAATTTTCTGACAAACAGAGCTGTTGGGAAAGCCAGATTTGCTTAAAAACTAAATTAACAACTGCAGTGATTCACTTAACAATTGTGGTAAGAACCGTCATAAAATGGGGCAAAACTCATTTAACAAATGTCTCCCTTAGCAACAGAAATTTTGGGCTCAATTGTAGTCGTAAGTCAAAGACTACCTGTACTGCTGATTTCCTTGTAAAATGAAAAACCCACTGATGTATACTGCTGTTAACAGATATCTCATTCCTGGTTTTCTTATTGTGTCATGTGAATTAGGAAACCTGACTTGGCAACTGAATATGACTTATTGATTTATCTATTACATTTATTTATTATTTATTAGAATTTGTCAAACAAAAACTAAAACAAGAATAAGAGAATAAAAATACAATGACAGGGATGATAGGCACCTTAGTGCACTTATGCACACCCCCTCTTCTGACCACTTAAATATGAAGTAAGGTCCACGGAATATATACATTTATATATTCCATCTCATGAATTCTAAAAATCATAGAATGTAATTAATATATTTGATAATTGTGTTTAATGTCTAAAAGAGAAGCAGTTGGAAGAGTGTGCTGTGGGAACATGGCCAAATTGTGATACACATTCCTTAGGTACCAGTGCAAATGTTTGAATAGATGGTGTTAAATACTGTAAATCTCCATCTTTTCATTATTTGAAAATGTCTTTAAGGAAAGTATAGTTGATTCTTCTATGATTCTTCTAAGCTGAGCTGCTGAAAAGCTGGACTTGGACGAAGTTCAAGTTTTATAGACAGGGAGGGGTAGCAATAAATATATCTATTGATTTAAGAACACCTGGTACACTTATCAAAATTGTACTCCCATCAGACTTTAAACCAAATGGATCAACTCAAGGATTATCTGTGTAATTTATCTGGAAGCTTTAATGGGAAATATTTCAAGGGTGTGTAGTATATGCTTAAATATTAAGTCTGGTGACTTGATACCACAAAGAAAGATTACACCTATTGTATGCACAAGTTTCATCAGCTATTTGTCTTGTCTGGGCTTGTTTAAAAATAAAGACAAATAGGAAAAAAAAAAAAACCAGAGAGGAATGATGCATTTTTATTGTGACCAGAGAGTAAGAGTGATCAAAAGATCACTTTTTCAGGTTTTAGCAAGTCCTTTTGCTTGCATCTGCAAATAAAGCAGTATTTCCCAGCAAAGCTCACTTGCTTGTAGAAATGCAGAAGCAGTGCATGCTCCTGCCTCTTGTCAATGTTTCAGTTCAGTAGATTTTTCAGTATACATGCCTTTTTCTCCTCTTTCTTGAAAAGATTATGTTGAAGAAAAGTTTGCAATTTGATCAACATCATGCATCTTTAAATTAATGTGAGTCATGTCTATGGAGATTCCCAATCATCCAGGTCATGGTTGTCCCAAAGGTGCTTTTTTCAAAAGGCAACTGGACTTTGTTTTTCTTTGAAGACGTTTCACTTGAAGACACTTGAAAACGTCTTACTTGAAGACATTTCACTTCTCATCCAAGAAGCTTCTTCAGTTCTGACTGAATGGTGGATCACCATTTGGTCAGAATTGTAGAAGCTTCTTGGATGAGAAGCGAAATGTGGTTCAAGGAAAAACAAAGAAAGTCCAGTTGCTGTTTGAAAAAGGACATCTGGGACGATAATGTAAGTCACTGAGATATAATCAAAATCTAGCTCTAACTCTACTCCTAAGCATAATATATAAAAATATGGCCATAATAGAAAGATGTAATCCCTAGATTATATCTACAGTCTATGAGATGTGATGATGAAATAAATAGTCCAGTAGATAGGTATTTTTCATTCTGTAAAAGTATCTTGAATGCACTAGTATTTATAATGTAATTTGGGCAGATCTGGTACTAGCTTTAAATGATTGAGGTTCAAGTAACTGAGAACTTGCTTCTCACTAGCAATAATAGAAATCAAACTAGATATAGTATCAAGCAGCACATCCATATAAGTCTTTACCATCTTCAGCATCTATATTTATGCCTGCAAATGAGCTTATTTTAAGGAAGACAGCTTGTTGTTCACTAAGTTGCAAGTGACATTTTAAAAAGCAAACACCTTGCAGAACAATATGACGAACCAATGAAGTTGAGAAGGAAAGTTTGAGATTGTTTTAGATCAGAGGTGTGGAACGATGGCCCTTTCATGACTTGTAGACTTCAACTTCCTTCTGGCTCAGGAATTCTGGGAGTTGAAGTCCAGAAGTCATAAAAGGGCCATCATTCTCCACTCCGTTTTAGATGGAGAGTTAACATTCAGCACACTGATTTACTATAAGAGTTTGTTCTAAGAACACCTTTAGGTGAAGAAGAACAACAGAGTATTTCTGAATTAAGATGCAAAATGGCTGACTAATAATAAGGGACTGAGCTCTACACAAATGGTTTTTTTCTTTGACAAGTGAAACAGAAATGTTTAACTAAAACAACATGTTTAGAAAACATTCAAAAAGTACCTGACAAGAACCAGCAAGCTCCTAAAATACTGACATTTTCTTAAAAGGTGACATTTGAAGAAAAAGGAGGGGGGGGAAAACCCTGAAATTATCTTTGAGCAGGAACACACTTGTCAGATAGTGAGAATACACTGCAACATTATTGAGGCTCCCGCTGGCATTTTTAACAGAAGTTTATGCTCACTTAATGAAACCAGTGCTTTATCAACTCTAACAATTACAGCCTCAGTCACTACAGATCTTAATCTAAAACTGGATTAGAATGCTAAGTGCCTGGAGTCTGTAAGTGGCCACAGTAGATTTAAAAAAATAAAATAAATACTTCCAACAACATTTTTTAAAATCCAAAGTGTTCCCCTACATTCAAGTCTAAGTGATTTTCAGTGCTGGTATTTGTCCGACTTAAAAGGGATATTTTGGAGATTCAGTTCCTTCAACAAATCAAAGCCTCTAAAAGGTCAGAAATTTAAGTAACTTATCAGGACTATGTTTTGCACATTGAGACTAGACTGAGAAAGAAAAAGAAACATTGACTTGCATTATGTTTGTTTTAATTATGCATAAATTCATTACAGCCTTTTAGTCAAAGCAGCACCCACTTCAGTCATTTTAACATGCCTTCATATATTCCATTATTTGTTAACTCAGTGAGAATCCTCTGGAATATGGTACACACTATTCCTTTTCTTTTTTCTTTCTTTCCTTTCCTCCCACCCCCACCCCTTTTTCCAGAATGTGTTCAAAGATTCCTTGATGCAAAGACACTATGAAATAATTGCTAATTGCCAAATAATTCTGCATCTCGTATTTCCTTTCTCCTTGGTATTACGTTTCTGCCAATCTGCCTCTCTATTACATATTAATATCTTCATAGGGCGGAATATGACATTGGAAGTAGAACCTGTTGTTTGACTTTGACTGCAATTCTGGAGTTATGTATATCAGCAGTTACTACTTCTGATATTCCTGTCTTATACTCATGCCAGCTTGAGTACAAGCCCATTTATGATACTCCTGCCCAGACTAAGACCCTTCAGCAACATTTCGTAAGCTATTCAGTGCAGAGCAAGACTACCATGTTGCTATAATAGATAGTTCCTGTTGCTGTGCCCTCCCACTATTCTGTACCTGGAAGGTTTCAGTTTCAGTTTCCTTTCGGTGGGTAGATTTTTTTTGGGTTTCATATAGATTCACATGCCATATACATAAGTAAACTGGGACTGGCCCGCTTAATCTATGCTGGCAGAGGAAGCATGCTGCGGGCCCCATCGCTCAAGGAATTCCAGCTAGTGAGGTCCAGAAGAGCCTTCTCTGCTGTGGCTCCGGCCCTTTAGAACATTTTACCCCCTGGGGTGAGACTGGTTCCCACTCTTCTTTCCTTCCACAGGAGCTTGAAGACCTGGCTCTGCCAGATGACTCGGGACTCTAACATGGAACATCACATTGGAGGTGGCCGTTGAATTAAAATAAATTCAACAAATAAAAAAGGTACATGCCCAAATTAAAGTATCAAAACGCAGATATATGGAGATACATGTATTTTTCTTTCATTGAATATTTAGCTTTCTCCTCCTTTTTAAAATATGTCTAAATGAGAGGTGAATTTAAGGCAACATCAGTTTCTGCCCTCCAGAAAGAGTTCTAGCAATGGAGCAACTGGATAATGCAATGAAGCACAAACTCTCCTAGTCTATTTTTGTGTACACCTCAATTTTCATGTGTATTTGGTGAGACTGACTGCAAAAACATCCCTTTGGCAATTTCTTGAGCCCTCTGCATTGTATTCCAAACTGTGTGAGATTATTAGTAGTACAATTTTGAGCAGGAAGAACAGTGAGTATACCATGAGTTAAGGGGGTGATTTTCAGCAATTTCCTAGGACACGTTACAATCTTGCCCAGCTGTTTTTTTTTTTTCTTTCTGAAAAGAAGATCATTGCTGCAGTGAACAACAAACAATTATATTACTGAGTTTTACAATACCATTTGGGGCACTCCTTCCAAAGGAAAATTCACTATTGAAGTTCCAGATGCCTGTTTTTGAGCCACTATTTATTTATTTATTTTTTGCTGTATATCAAAAATGTTTCCAAATCCATTGTCTTCAACCAAAAGAATCCACAGTGAAGTGGCTCGTGTATTGTGCTAAGCCATGAATTCCTTAATCATGATTTGATGAATAATCTATAATGAGTTGGGATTCCACAAAATACTACATTATAAATTATGACTGAGACATTATATAAAGCTAAAACAAGATGTACCACAGTTAAATTTAGTGTAATGTATGACACTAACAATCGGTATACACATTCTGAGAAATCAGTAAATAAGAACTTTGCTTACAATTATTTATTTGTGACTTGCTCAACAACCTGAGTGTGCCTGGCAGTGTAACCACCCAAGAAGTACAATGTGGAATCTGTACAACACAGAAACAGTATTTATTATTTTATTTTATGAGTTATACAGGTCTAGTAAATAAATAAACAAAAACAATATGGAATAATAGTACCTAGAAATCTAAAGGAGAACAGGAAAAAGAATAATAAAAGATAGCTAAAAATAGCAGCATGAAGAATACACTTTCTGGAGCACAATAGTCCATTGTATCTGCAAGAAATAGTCACATGTATATTGAGGTTTCAGAAACCTCCTGTTAAGATACGTTATCAGCTTCACTTTCATTACATTTTAAATCAACATTTAGACTCTGTTACTTAGTACTATTAGATTTATATTTCTTTCCAGGAGTCCAAGGTAATGTATAGGTAGTTCTCAACATATAACAGTTCATTTAGTGACCGTTCATAGTTACAACAGCACTGGAAAAAAGTGACTTATGACCGTTTTTCATGGTTATAACCTTTGCAGTATCCCCATGATCATGTGATCAAAATTCAGATGCTTGGCAACTGGTTCATACTTATGACCATTGAAGAGTCCTGGGGTCATGTGATCCCCTTTTGTGACCTGCTGACAAGCAAAGTCAATGGGGGAGCCAGATTCCCTTAACAACTGGATTACTAATTTACCAACTGCAGTGGTTCACTTAACAACTGAAGCAAGAAAGGTCGTTAAAAGGTTAAATTCACTTAACAAATGCCTCACTTAATAACAGAAATTTTGGGTTCAATTGTGGTTGCAAATCAAGGATTACCTGTACCTGTACATACAGGTAATACCTGTACAACTGAGCCAGTAATGGTTTTCACTTACCTTTGCAACCGGTTCGGAACTGTGAGCGTGCGCGGGGTGCTTCTGCGCATGCGCAGAACCGCATGCACAGAGCGCCCATGATGACATTTGGGCAGGTGGGCGGAGCCTCCCACCACCACCGCTACTGGTTCACCCGAACCGGGGCAAACCGGTAGAAACCCACCACTGAATTGAGCCCAACATTTCTGTTGCTAAACAAGACAGATGTTAAGTGAGTTGACTACAGTTGTTAAGCAAATTATGGCAGTTGTTAAGTGAATCACGTGGCCATTAAGTGAATGAAGCAAGATTCACTTGCTTCCCCCATTGACTTTGGTTGTCGGAAGCCATTTGGGAAAGTTACAAATGAGAGCACATGACCACAGAGCACTGAAATTGTCATGAATACATGCCAGTCGGCAAGCACCAAATTTTGATCACATGTCCGTGGGAATGCTGCAAAGGTTGTAAATGTGAAAACTGATCATAAGTCATTTTTTTCAGTGCCGTTTAACTTCAGATGGTCACTAAATAAATGGTTGTATGTCGAGGACCACCTGTATCATCCTTTTCTTCCGTATGGGGTGAAAGATAGCAGCTAATCTAAAGTTACCCAATTGATGTCTTAATTAATTTACATTTCCAAGTAGGAGTTTGACCATGGATCTTCTTTGAAATAACACTCCAAATTGCGTCAAGAATATATAAAAACATTGATAATAAAAATCTTAAAATAGAACATTCCCTGGTGTGATCTCACGCTATATTTTCTAAACTATTGGAAGTCAAATCGGGAGTCTAGATTAATTCTAAGTGTTCAAATTTTTAAAATCTGAAAACTATTGGACTTTTTAAAGGGACTCTAATGTGATGGTGGAGGTTAAATAGTTATATTTTCTTGTTTGAGAGATGCTCAAGGATTGTCTTCTGTTGTCATATCCTCCTCCTCCTCCTTTTTTGCCTGCCCTCTTGAAAAATGCAGCTTCTCATAAGATTTATCAGCAACCTTATTGGAATTTTCCAACTGCAGCTGCTAGGTTTTCTTGTTTTCAAGCTTGCTGAACAAGACTAAGGAAAAGCCTTATCTCCCAGAGGCAGGAGGATATATTTGGGAAACTATAATTGCATTAGAATACAGAAAGAGAAAATGAGCAGAATAGTTTTACTATGGCAAAGAGTGAGGGCAACAGACAGGACAGCTGAACTCTAGCAGGAAGATACTGATGGGATGCTAATAGCTTTATAATCAACCCAACTTTATGAAGTACAGTTTTTACAATTGTCCACAGGAATAGGTCCTGTCAAACTTCTCTCCTCTCCTCACCTAACACACTCCTAATAGAAGGTATGAATTTAGCTTTGTATTCCCTACTGGTGATATCTATCCCTTTAAATAACTCACAACCATTTCCTCAGTGCTTTGAGGAGAGGCACTTTCTACACGGCTGCATACTGTTTTTAAAATGTGTGAAGTGCTAAAGTTCACCTGGCACATGTTAAATTCACAGTCTTTATCATGTGTTAACTGATACCGTTTATAAGCCATCCAAGCACAGAATCACTTGCAGATTTACTGTTTTTTGTTTTTAAGGGCACAATATCAGTCTCTCTCGGTTTATGACACAAACACAACTCACTATTATAATTAGTGCATTTTTCCAGTACCAGAGCTTGCACAAACAACTTTTTATAAATGAGCACGTATTATATATGAAACCTGAATGTAAGATCTCAGCTTAACATTGTTGTGCTGATCTCCTTCCCCCTCTCCTTCTCCCTGCTAATATTATGCATGCATAAAATCAAATATAATAAAGCCTAATTCATCTGAGCTGGTTAGGAAAAGTTAGACTACAAATCTGTAATTAGTTGCCCGTTGAATATATTGTCAAAGTAGAACAAAGGTAGAACTTTGGAGTCTCAGTGTTACATTGCCACCTTTTTCTGGTCTCACATTTTGAGCCAAAGCTTTCCCCTACTTCATTGGCTCAAGAGCAAGTATATGAATGGTCTTCTTTTCTCCAAGTCCCGCCTGGAGTACTGCAATGCTCTCTACATGGGGCTCCCCTTGAAGAGCACCCGGAGGCTCCAACTGGTCCAGAATGCGGCTGCGTGGGTGATTATGGGAGCGTCATGGTGACCAGTTTGCTCCCACAGAGAGGGACTCCTAAGGGTACCGTCGGCCAAGTTATGTCGGCTGGCGACACCCAGGAGGAGAGCCTTCTCTGTTGGAGCTCCTGCCCTTTGGAATGAATTGCCCCCGGATATTCGTAACATCTCTGACCTCCGGGTCTTTCGCTATGCCCTCAAGACCCTACTGTTCCGACAGGTGGGGCTGTCTAACTGAATGAGTTTAAATTGGGTTTTAATTTTGGGTTTTAAAATTCGACCAAAACTATTTAATGATTTTAATTAATTTTAATTATGATATTGTATATTTATATTTTAATTCTGGCTGTACACCATCCTGAGTCCTTCGGGAGAAGGGTGGTATATAAATAAAATTATTATTATTATTATTATTATTATTATTATTATTATTATTATTCCCATGTAACACTTCTCCTGCGTGAGCTGCACTGGCTCCCAGTGGTCCTCCGGATGTGATTCAAGGTGTTGGTGACCACCTTTAGAGCGCTCCATGGCTTAGGGCCTGGATATTTACAGGACCGCCTTCTGCCACCGAGAGCGTCCCACCGGCCAGTACGCTCCCACAGAGAGGGGCTCCTCTGGGTGCCGTCGGCCAAACAATGCCCACTGGTGGCCCCCAGGGGGAGCGCTTTCTCTGTGGGAGAGCTTTCTCTGCCCTCTGGAACGAGCTGCCCCCGGAGATACGGACGATTCTGGACTTACGTAATTTCTGTTGGGCCCTCAAAACCTTTTTATTTCATCAAGTCAGGCTGGCCTAACCTCTCCAATTGTGTATTTTAATTTGGATTTTTAATGGGGGATTTTAACTGTTGGGCCAAAATGTTTAATTTATTTTTAAATTGTTTTAAAATTTTGTATTTGATGTTTTTTACTTCTGGCTGTTCACCGCCCTGAATCCTTCGGGAGAAGGGCAGTATATAAATATTAAATTAAATTAAATTAAATTAAGTACACTAATTTATCTCAGTGCAGAAAAAAATTAAGATTATCCAGAGGGAATAGAGTTGCTTGTACATCCTTTCAATGTTTCCTTTACCTTGCTTTGAGCAGAAGAAAGAGATAGTTGACAGAAAAATAGGCAAGTTTCAAAAGGCAAAGTGATTATCTACCTCGGGTGTCAAATTCACCACATCACATTGCTGTCA